TACATAGTATTATACAATAATACTGTTCCGGCTTCCATACAAATTTGACTTAAGGACAGACCTTGGGAACGGAACTTGTTCTTAAACTGGGGACTACCTGTAAATGCATTTGTGACATCATGTACGAATGACTGATAGATAAGTCGCCTGTTGCATTCTGGAAGAATATTCTTTTCCTTTTCTTTTTTCTTCCTTCTCCTTCCCCATTGTTTCTGCCTAAAGAAAGATTGTTTGACAGATGAAGTTTCCTGACTACCACGTTGCAGTGAGTCCCATCCTTCTCAGTTCGTTCTCAGCATCCTGGCGCAAGAAGTGTTGAGTGAAGCGTTAGTCACTCTAAATGCCAATCGGTATGACTTCTTGTGGTCTCTAAGAAGACCATAACATTTAATTTAGGTAGTTTAATATTAGCAACTGTGGGTTCTAAATGGGATAATTTTCAGGTACCAATAAGGGACTGTCCAGTGATTAAATATGGCAAATTTGGTGAAAGATAATGTGACCTGTCTGTATATTAACAGATAGCAGTATCTTGGTTGAAGTTGGATGTCACTTTTGCTCCTGGAAGCAAGAAAAACATCAAAATTAGAATCGCATGGCTAGATTTAATTCTGCCCTCTGTAAACAGATAATGAACCTATTGAATTAAGGGAGTCAAAATAACGTTGAACATTGTTTTGGCAACTTCTCTGTACCAACATTGGTGCTCAGGAATTCATTGTTGTCCCACCAACACCAAAACCCCTATTCTTGAAATGGCAACAGGATGCCGTTTACAGCCCTCCAATACTGAGCTCTTATGAGGTGGATAAGCACTGGGTATTTCCCCCAGATCAGGATCTTTTAAAACCTTTGAAAGAGCTTAGAAAACTTCAGGTCAGTTGAATAGATATACAAATGTGTGCAGTTCTACTAGGTTTTTTTTTTGTAGAGAAGATAAGTAAAGCAAGATGGTGAATTATTAGAAATGCATACAGATGTCAAAGGAGGTAGAAGTGTGGGCTTCTGTTTGTGGAGGAGGGAGAAAAATTGCTGTATGGATTTCCACATGATTGTGCAAGTCTCCATGTTCACCTTCCCCATGATGGGTGAAGCCCTGGTATTTTGTAGTTATATCCTGTTTTTACCTTCACCATTTTCACCTTGGTGTTTTTTGGTGTTTTCACTGTTTTCACTCTGATGCAAAAGCTGACTTAAAATAGCACTGTGTTTTGTGTCACTTGTGTGTAGGGCTGCAAAGCTCTAGACAACAACTAGGGGGAACAAAGAGACACAAAACTCTTTATTGCTTGCTGCTGTCTACTGATTTACACAACTTGTAGCCCAGATCTGATAGTTCTACTTAGGTGAAAGTCCTCTTTGTATCATTAGGATCCATCCTGGGCCATTCATCCATGCAAGCCATCACTTGATGTTCTTCAAGGAATTCAGAAATTGTGCTGTCATTGATTTTTTTTAAAGCATCTGTAAAACCAGCAGGGCATTTAGATGTAGAACTGTTTATGCCTGATTCTGATTGCTGACTTGCCCTTTCCAAGCAAATCAGGAATCTAACGCAAGAGCAAATCCTTACTTTGTGGGGAAGTAATAAAGTAGAAGGAAGTGACAGATACTCAAACTGGACATGAGCTAGCTAGCCACGTGTTAGCTAAGTGTAATTGTGTGGACCCAACCCTTATGTGGCATGCCAAGGTGAACTGGGCACTAAGTTTCAGTGTGCTAGGCAAATCTAGAAATTTGGATTGAGGCAAACCATGATTCAGAACCTATATTCTTTTAAATTAGTTTTTACTGGATTTTCTGAAGTTGGGAGTTTTTCTGGGGGAAGTGCTCCTTTATGGTTGTAATTGATCGCAAACCACCCAGCATCTAGTTCTTGAAGGATGTCTAAACATATTGTCATAAATAAATAGTTAAGTACAGAAAGCCCTTATATATTGGGTCTGCCAGTTTGAATTATCAGGGCAATTTCAGGGCATTGCATTTGTTCTCCTACATTAAAGAAAAAAGTCTTGCGTGCACAAAAGGTGCAGGAGAGGAAGACTGTTGTGGATGTTCCCCGTTGTAGGGCATTTTAAATGCATTTGACTTCTTTTCTTACCCTGTGACGTTGTCTGTGCCAGCTGGGGATTATGGATGATGAAATCCAACAGAGCTGAAAGGTGCAAAGTAGAGGAAGCCTCTGTGGTGTCAAGGGGCGGGGGTGGGGAATCGCCAAGATGCTGGATGGAGCATCATGGTACAAGCCCCGCCCCTTTTGTGCATGTGCCAACATCACACACACCGCTTTAAAAGGGGAGGGGCTTAGATCATGATACTCCATCCGGCACCTTGTCTATTTTGACACATGCACACTCACACATGACCCGTTTGTCACTGTTCTCTTCTTGGCACTCACTGCTGCTTAAAGAATTCTTAGCTGGAGTTTTTTGAGTTTCTTTCTCATACCTTCTTACGCCTTATTATGAAGTGGCATTACCCAAGCCACCTCAGTGAGGCCTAGATCCTTGGCAAAGGGAAGTCTCCAGCTGAAGCATTTGGTTGGCACTTTCCCGTTTTGTTAAAGTTTCAATTGTAAAAAAGCTGTTTCCTTAGACCACAGAAATATCACACATTGAGAAAGTGTATAGTATACAGTATTTCACAAGTAACTCAATTTCCTGTCTGTTCCATTGTTTTCAGTTTGATTAAGTATATCCTGCTAAACTGTATATTCCTGTTCAGGGTTATATTGAACCCTGATAAAATGAGATTGTGGAATGTCATGTGCGTAAAGAAGTGTGTTCTTTCCCTATCTGTGAAAGAGGGAATGCAATTATCGAAAAAAAAAATTTCGGTTGTTTAAAGCTGGGTCATTATAAAGTACGTATCCCTTTTCCGACAGGTTGCTCAATTTTACGTAGCCATGTTGACCAGGTGCCAGCAGGTTTTGGCTGGGCACAGAGATAGATAAATCGACTTCTAATTTATATTTTTCCTCCCCTCGACCTTAAAAATTGGGCTTCCCGATGATTTGGTGCAGGGAGCATATTTGAAATTCTGGCATGCTGGCAAAGGAGTTTATTTTATTCATTTATTGAAACTGTTTATTAGACCCTTCAATTGTTAGAAGAGAACTAATCCATTTATAAAAGAGCTGCTATACAGGCCAATAACCTGTGACAAGGCCCCAATTTATCAGAAGGGCACCTCATTCTCCCTTGATCTTTCTCCTCCAGGGTGTTTGGAAAGTATCAGGTCATTTCTGATAGCTGATTCTGCTTTTTTTTTTTTTTTTTAATAAGCATTTATTAAGGGTTAGATCTTTGTATAGAAATACATTTCTGATTGGAGACCACGGGAGCAGAGACCAGCCCCTTAAAATGGAGGGTTGACCGTCTTTCAATATTTGTACTGTTAGGACCTAAACTAACTTAGATATTTTACTATGATAAGGGAGATAAATGGGGAACCTCCCTGTCAATAATAACTCTGAAGAACATGTACTGTTGTCGCATCTTGTCCTCTAGAACTCCTGGCAGGGAAAGGTTGATTTATATTTTTACCTTATCTTTCTGTTTAATCTTCGAATGTATGTTTGTAGTAATCAGTATTTGGTTAAATCAGTGTTTTTCAACCTTGGCCACGTTAAGATGTGTGGACTTCAATTCCCAGAATTCCCCAGCAGCATGCTGGCTGGGGAATTCTGGGTATTGAAGTCCACACATCTTAACGTGGCCAAGGTTGAAAAACACTGGGTTAAATCAATGTATCGTATCACCCTTTGAAGTGAAAAGGTGCTGTGGGCTGAAGTAGAGGGCACTTTGCATTCTTGGTAGAAAGAGGGTTTATTGCTATCTGCATTTTTGACAGAGAAGTCTTCTATTTAGGTTGGCTAATGGTGAAGCTGTTATGGAGCTGGCACAGGTAGTCATCCCCATGGTTTAACCATACAAGTAGTCCTTGACTTACGACTACAACATTACCGGACCGGAAAATTAGTTGTTAAGTGGTGTGGTCATTAAGCAAGACATGTGACTGTGACTTGCAATCTTCCCTACCGGCTTCCCCATTGCTTTGCTTGTTGGAAGCCAGCCTGGAAGGTTACAAATAGCAATCACATGACTGCAGGACGCTGCAACCATTGTAAATGCATGACAGTTGCCAAGCACCCGAATCACGATCACATGACTGTGGGGATGCTGTGATGGTCATAAGTGCAAGGACTGGTTGTACATCGCTTTTTTCAGCACTGTCACTTTGGTCAGTAAACAAATGGTTGTAAGTCGAGGACTACCTGTATTAGGGTTTGGGAAGCTGGTGCATCCAATTGTTGACCTTTAATTTTCAGAGTCTCTGGCATTGACCATGCCAGCTGGTCTCTGGAAGGCATCAAGCTACCCTAATTTCAGATTCTGATTAGCAGTAACCATGGTTTGCCTGGGTTCAGGGATATCCACAGCAAGGGTGGTCATAATCATGTGATCAAAGCTTAGAAGATGGTTATGGCTGTCATCTTGACTTTTTACATACACACACACCCCACAGATGCTCCTACCTGGCTTAGAAGTCACAACAAACTGTCATTACTATGATCCAGAAGTAGACTCCACAGATCTATTACATGAGAGGCAACAGTGCAGCCATGAAAATTCCTTTTGGATTTCTCAGTTTAGGTTCAGCGAACTGGAATTCAATAACCAGGGACGACCGAGAAAACAAAACCAGTTCAACCAAAGAAAGGGGGTGTGCATTCAGGAGAGGAGATGACTGTAGCCAGTCTATAATCTTGTGCTCCTTGACTAATGACTGGAACCCAGACATGGTGATGAAGACTGAGGGTGGATGTATCATGAAGAATTGCTCTGTGCAGATAATTAGTAATCACTTCCTAGTAAAACCTGTGGAATGTGCTTCATTTAGCTGGAGACATAGTTTGCAGTGAGCTTTAAAGTATTGTTGGGGGGGGGCAGTGTCGTGTCATACTTACTTCTCCACTCATTTCCCTTTTTGTGTTTCAGCGAGTTGTCCAGACTCTGTGCCTTCTTCCACGGAAACGAGGGGAACTAATTTTCTGGCCCCTGAGGGGCTCGCAGGTAAGAGTCAAGTTCTTGTCTGGGCCCCTTCTGTTGTACGTATGTTTTTCTAACAAAGGGAGTTGAACCTCTAGAACAGTGCTTCTCAACCTTGTCAACTTTAAGATGTGTGTTGTTCAACTGGAGTTGACGTCTACACGTCTTAAAAGTTGACAAGGTTGAGAAACATTGATCTAGATGGCTAGTTGCCATCGAGTTGGTGAATCTGTGTTGTAAGCATCCTGATTGCACCTCTGTTGCCTGGTAGGCTGGATCAGGTTCTGAGGCTTTTCCAGGAATGAAAATCTTTGCAGGGGTTTTCCCCAGCCCTGGTGGGTAAAGATTCTGGAAGTGGTCGTACCATCTGAGGGCATCAGGGGTTGGACAGCTGTTGTGTGTTCACCAGTGTTGGGAATCAAGAGAAAGTCAAACTTCTGAAGGGTGAGCACAGTGATGGGTCTTGTCAGTGAGCAGACAGAATATAGACATACATATATCCTGTATTGCATTTTCATAGAAGGTTGCAAGTAGGTCACAGTTGTTTTGTGTTTCTGCTAGGAATTTCAGCCCCCGCCAGCCCATGTCTAAAAATCTTTCCATTTATAAGAACTTGTATGATAATCTAGCTCTCAAGAGAATACTTACCTTGGATGTTCCAGATTTTGATAATTTCTGAGTATTTTTAACTGCGTGCACTTTATTGGTATCAGCTGGGAACAGGAGTGAATTTTCTATAGTGTGGCCTATCTCTTTTCAATTCTGTTTCATTGCTGAAATACACCTTCATTGCAAAAAAAAAAAAAAAAATAGCCATTCATGGGGAATGCTGGGAATTGTAGTTCAGCAACATCTGGCTGGTCTCAGGTTGCATGGCTGTAGGACTGAGTTTTACCAGCTGTGGAATTAAGTCGGCCATATTTCACATTTCTGGTCTTACAAGCTTGTATCTGTCCTCCCCTGTTGAGAGCTGCTTCTGAACCTAGACAAAGATGCTGGCAGCACTACAGTTAGCTGAGGGCAACGTCTGCCTATGTGATTTATGCGCAGAGAGCTAAATTATATACTGTCCACTGTAAGGGTGTGCCAGAGCAGGCTCCTGCTTTTTGCAAGTTTGCAAGTTGAGGCTGGCTTCTGGTGATTAAGGTTGGGTGTAAGGCTTGGGTTTAAGGTGGTGGCTTGCAATTTCATCTGGGAATGGCTGATCTCTGGGGGAGGAGCTGGAAAAGAACATCTTGAGATTAGCCCCTGAGGAGCACCATCCAGGTGGGGAGACATTTTCTCCCAGAGCCTTTTGACTTCTGAGCTGCAAGTCGCCTTTATCCACAGAGTCCTGAGCATAGTTTGAGCATTTATATGACTGGATATAGTCTTTGCCTCTGGAGGAACCACCCCCCCATCCCACTGAAAGCCGTTGTAGCTCTCTTGTGATGCAGCGTGCAAACCCTTAATAGCTTTTTGCTAATGCCCCAAAAATACTTGTCTGGACTTGCATACCTTTTGAAAGGTAGTTTTATTTGGCCAAGGACTCCTTGTTTGATTTACGGAGCAGCCGTACTCCCGTTCATTAGCCTACAACTGGAATGTCAGAAAACTGTCCCCCCCCCCGTGAGTGCGCCGACGTTTGTGCGTGGGTTTGTACGTGTGGGCTTTTCTGTCCAGGAATTGCTTTCAGCATGGCTGTGTTTATGTGAATCTTGTCTGCTTTCTTTCTAATGTAATATATACCCTCCGCATGTTATTTGAGAGGAGAGGACTCTGTTTGTTCAAAGGCAGCTAATAAGAATTAATCAGGAGGAGAGGAAAAGAGGAGGGGAAGTAAGTACCAAGGGTTTTTTTCCTCTTCTTTAAAAAACACATATTCCCTTTCAACCTTCTTGCAACCGAGCCCTGTAGAAGAAGTTTAAGGGGGGGAAAAACTCAGCAGAGGAAGAATCAGACTATACAATAAGAATGCTAAATAGTTGAAAAGGAAAAAAAAATGAAGTATGCAAGAGGGTGGGGTTGAGTTCCGCAGGATACCACATGAAATAAGCAAAGGAGGACTAGTTTTTAAAAGGAGCCTCTTTTTAAAAGGTTTGTGAATTGATAACATCTTGGATTGTCTCATCTGCTGCTGAAAGGGAGGGGGAAAGGAAGGGTGGGGATTTGGGGGCAGCAGGAAATCACATTGCTCGCCTGGTGGCAGAATGCTTTCTTACGAGACATCTTAGATAACTGCAAAAAAAGGGAGTAAAGGATGCTTTTTTTGAAAGTTTTCATCCTTGCAATCAATCCTCAGATCTCGTTTTCCTCTTACTCTGTGGGGTTTCTGTCAGCTGGGTTTTTTGGAATTGTAGAGAGCCCAGATGAACCCAACCTAACTTAATAAGAGTAATAATACTTTTACAATTATTTTACTGCAGTTTAATGAAGAGAAGAGGGAGGATTGTTTAATAGACAAAGAAAAGGATAAGCAGTGGTTTATTAGTGAATTCTGATCCATTGATAAACCTGGAACAATTCTTGAAAGTTCCCTAGCTAGAGAGCCAGTGGAACCATATACGCAGCTGAAGTTCAGTGTTTTTCAACGTTGAACTATGATTGCAGTGGTCAGGATTTTAAATTTGAGCTCTTTAAAGCGCTGAATGTTCATTGACTGTTGCCTTTCCTTTTTTCTTTACACCCTTGAGATAGCTTGCTGGAAAGTGTATTTGAACAGGATTTTTAATGAGCGGTCATTGGGGCATCTATGGTACTTTTATCTGCAATGAAAAGTTGTAATAACTTACCGAAGTTTAAATAGGGGATGGGTCACAGAAAAGTAAACTTTCCTCTCCCTTTTCCCTTGCCCCTGCTTTCCCCTTTCATATATTTTTCAAGTGAGTAGAACTACCTTTTCTGAATTGCACATGCTGAATTGGCACATGCTGAATTGCAACCAGATCTCCAGAGAAGGATCCATGGCCACCTTTGTTATGGATCCCAACCTGGGAAATAAAAAGAAACTGAGCAGATGCTCTCTCTACCAACAACCTTCAGATGGCTTTCTGGAGGAGTCCTGCATCCTCTGAGTGTTTGCAGGAGGAAGGCCTGTAAACCAACCACAGCTGCTGACATGCTGGTTTTCCCATGAGCTGAGCATTATTATCTCAAGAAATTATCCCTCAGTGGATATTACTATATTCTTTGCGTGTGAATCTTTTGGTCACCTAGACTGCTGGGACTGATGACCAGATGTTGTGGTGAACCATTCTTCTTCAAGCTGGTGCTTTCCAATGTGTTTGAGGTTGGAGTCCCAACCCACCTGGGCCACCAGCTTGGAGTAGGAAATCTGAAGTGGATACCTTAGTCAAAGCAGTCCTTAATTTGTCTTGAAGTGGCTCCATTTTGATGGTATTTTTTTAGCATATAGACAGGGAAAGGGACATTGGTGTTTGCATGCTTTGAGTGGACACACAGGTGTGGAACGTGCACCAGTTGAAAATCTAAGATAAAGGATGTGGACTTGGACTCCTTCCACATACAAGGGGTGCTCTGGTCCAGCAGTACTCTTGTGTAGTCTTGAAAAATTGAGTGTATTAGTTGCTGCTCCAGAGGAAATGGCTGCCCTTTGAACAAGACCCCACTTGTGGGATTCCCCCACCCTCCAGCATCATAGGATCTCCCCACTGAATGGAGGAATGGTTTTGCCACTTCCTTGACAATGGTCAGCTTGCTTTTTCTCTTAATTCCCTTGCATGAATAGCTAACAGTGAGATGGCTGGCAAGAAGGGAGCAGTGGCAGGACAGGGGGAGCATTGCATGGTAGAGAAAAAAATAGGGAGGTTGCTGAGCCATCAGCCACACAGACAGGAGCTGGGATGTGTTTGGAATTGATCCATTGGGGCTTCCGTCTCAATGTATGTGTCTGCACGTGCCATAGACCGGATCCAGCTGATTGCTCCTTACAAGGAATGATGCTCGTGTAGGAAAGCAAAGGCTTCTTTAACTTGGTTCAACAATCCAGGAATTTGTAACGTGATTGCTCATCTGTAGCCCTTTTCCCCCAGATATGGCTTAACTTCCAGAAGTTGTCCTCTGTGTGAAAAAAAAAATGTCCAATTCTGAAATGTTTCTAAATCTGGAGATGAATGTGGTGTCTGAAAAGTGTTCTTCTGCAGCTAATCCAGAGTAGCCAAAACAATTTTGCCCAATTGGAAAAGTTGGGCAGTTCTGCCAAGGATAGCATAACATCTCTCTCCGTTTGTATCGAAACAGTATTGTCAGTGTTCCACTGTGCAAAGGGTGCCTTTAAAAAGTGGAAAGGAAAATGGCATAATATGTGTGGAAGAATGTGTGTAGGCTTGGGAGGGCAGGCACTCTCAACATACAAACACAATTTGCTTGAAGAATACAGAGAAAAGCTGATGTTTTCTTTGAAGCTTATAAGAACGATGTTCTTTTTCATGGGGCTGAGCAGATTCTCTGGGATGAAGATGCCCAGAGGATGTTTGTGGGTGATCTGTTTGGAAGGATGAGCAAAAGAGACATGCTACCCAAGTCTTTCCCTCTTGAAAATAACCAACTTGACCTCGTCCTTCACTTGCTCTGTTTGCTGTTTTCTGCCCTGGCTTGGTTGAAGTTGCTGCTGAGTTTCAGCTAATGAATGAAGCTCAGTTCAGGGTGGGAAGAAGGCTGGACACCTGGAGTAAGGGCTGCGATTCTTTTAGCAGAGGAAGAAAAGGAGTCAGCAGGAATCAGAATATATATATCGGGAGGGAGGGGGAGAAGGATGTCAAAACTTTAATCCTGTGGGGGTCTTCACAAAGGAACTGGTTCCAGCAGCATTGACCTTTAATTCACTCCGTGCTGCTCTTTCATGTCATCTGGGGCGCTTGGAAAAATAGAAGGGGAAGGAAATAGGTGGGAGGGAAAGTAAAGAGGGAAGGAACTTGGACAGACCAGCCAAACTGAATTTCTAGGACCTAGTTTAGCTCTGTTTTCTTAATGGAGCATCTTCCAAAAGGTTAAAACCTCAATTGAGAAGAAGGAGAAAAAAAGGG